TGTCCCATAAAAGTGGCAAACACTTGGAACTATGGTAACACTATGGTAACACTTAAGGGGTTGATGGTGAAAACGGGCATTATTGAAATATTATACAGTAGTCAAAACCCAAGTATACCTTTCGTTGCAAATTTGTGTTTTTTACAACTACACAAGATGTCAAACGTTTAGCTTTACATGCTGCCTTCCATACAATAATGCTAAAAATTAAATAAAACCGTTTTTATGCGCACGAGTTGCCGTAATTGGAATCGTTTTATTGCCGACTTCCCGTTTATATAATTTGAAACCAATTAAATCATAGGGCTTTCCGAATATTATCTAGTTTTGAAACCTTTGTCAAACGATACAACAATGTAGAATAAATTGTTTGTAGACATTTATTTACGCATCGTTGTAATATTTCAAAGTTTAAATTGAATTTTAAACGATTCAAATTGGTTTTCAGTTAGTCCAGTTTGATCCAACAGTAATGTCTACAACTAAGGATATAATATTAATGTTCATTGTGTTTTCTATTACTAATTCGTGTATTCATTGTGGTATTTTTGTAAGTAAATTTCGCTTTTTTTATAAATGTTGAGTTACATTATTTGGATTGGAAATGTAGTTATCATAGTTAGTGCATTTGAAGAAATAAATTTTTGACTTCGACACTTTCAGAGCATAAAATAATTGTTTTGAGTTGCTTTTAGCAGTAACAAAGATTTTATTTTTATTGGTACTCATTAATACGTCTGATGTAAAAAAAGTTAGTTTGGGACTAGTTGTGACAGTGTTAATATTCAAAGAAAAACCTATCGTAGGTAATAAATATGGCAGTCAAATAGCCAACACTCACATTTTTCATCCAGCTACTGCTAGATTTTTGAAGTCATCGGTCCATCGAAAAAAGTGCCTTGTACAACGTTTTCCGGCCGCTGTCTGTAGCAGTCCGATTCGGAATAGGTTCTGCGATTATATGCTACGCCTAATATATAATTATTATTATTTATTTCCTTCCTCAGAGCATGAAAATGATTCCCGAACGAGCTACAATAGATTACACCAACGATAAGTACATGTCACGGGTGAAGGTAAATGTCAGGCGTTATGGCAGAAGGGGCGACTACTTCGTCAACTTAGAAGGAAACATCTACCACACTTGGGGAAACAATATCTCGGTATTATGTTTTTCATGTCGGCAGGACAGGAAAATGTCCAACTAAGTGGACCGACGATCTAGTAAAGGTTGCGGGTAGCACCTGGATGCAAGCACCGCAAGCCCAATCGTTGTGGAAATCCTTGGAAGTTGCCTTAAGGTAGCCTTTCGAACTAATCGTCACAGACGCAGCGTCTTTAGCTTTGGTCTTAAAGGTAGCCTTTGGAAACGAGTTAGTGACGCGGCGTTGGTGGCTCTTGAGCCACTTGACCAAAGCTAAAGATGCTGCGTCTGTGACGCTTAGTTCGAAAGGCTACCTTTAGTCGGCATTGGAAGTGATTTGGCTGAAACAAATGAACGAACAAAAGTCATCATAATCAGTCTAATGCTGAGCATGAGCCCAAGGAGTGCCATGCTTCATCATAATTATTTCAGACACAGGACCTCCCTGAACATAAAGTATCTCCCAATGATTTCCAAATTGGCCGTTTGGTAGCGGCCTGCATCCAGCGCCTTCCTGCGACATTTTATAAGGTCATCTGTCCTATTTCTTACCTTGTGCATTGCCAGTACAGATCAGTACTGGCAATGCACAAGTTAAATGGCAATGAGAAATCGAAATTAAGGCTTAAGGTTTTTTTTTTTATGTTTTCAATTTTTCGTGTGGTTCCGCCAGAGTATAGATCGTTTCATCCACGAAGACGCGCCCCATCAATTTTTAGTCGAGGGAAGCGTGGGATGCGGGGAGTTTGATCCGATCAGTCCGAGCGTCATTATTGTAGTGTGTGTGTGTGCTCATAGATAATTTAGCGTGTACCGATAGATAACACACAAACATTAGTGGAAGAATGGTGGGGTGCGTCTTCGTGGATGAAACGATCTGTAGAATAGGAACGCTTTCACTTGTTTCTAAATAGTGCTTTAAGACTTTTTGTTTATTTCATGTATTTTCAGTTTCACGTCCATCTATACGAGTTGCTCCATAATGAATATAAGCGGACTTTTGTCGAGTTCCACTTCAAGCATATCTGTGACATGATCAAATCTGATCCGTATCTTGGGAAGGCCGTAGCTAATACTGGAATTGAATGCCCTGTACCACCAGTAAGTTATTGTGTTTCTCGTTCGATTGGTAGTTTCAGGCAAATGTCGTGCACTGCTGGACAAAGATTTCGATAACGACAGGTCCTGCACTGCCCGAATTCAGATGCTTCTCGTGACGTTCACCAGATTGTCAAATTTTAACTAATCATTTTTAGACAAAGATAACTTTAAGGTCTACATAGTAATGGTTAACGTGCTGTTTTCAAATTAGAGACCAGTCCTCCTTGTATGGTGTTGTTCATGCTAGCCCATCGTGACAATGATGATGTTAGCGACCGAATCTCCTGATTTTCTTTTCCAAAACGAGTTATAAGTAATTTACGTTAATTTTATTGCATTTTAAAGCACCACAAACTACAACTGCTGAGTCCAAAGTTACCTAGAGCATAAAATGCCATATCACGTCATTAAGCTCGGCTGATATACTAGATAGTATGGCATTCCTCATCATCATTATCATCAGTCAGTTCTTAGTCTCCACTGCAGGAGTACGACCCTCTCTAATTTACCAGAGGCATATAGAGGATTTGCCTTACACTCCCCAGGGTGGCCAGACGGGTTGGGGAGGAAATGGGACATTAATGATAAATTCTTTGATATCTTTTTCCAGGGTTTTTACGTCTTAGCAAACATGTCGATACCTTTCGAAGACTTCCCCTATGCATGGCCGTTTGAGAGAGCACGAGGAGTTGGTACCGTCACCTGTGGGGACAAAGCTGACAGACTTGGTGTGGTGCTTGGAAATGGAAGCCTTTATATGAGATTCGTACAGAAAAAGAAGAAACCCTAGGAACACTTCCTTTATTCGCATTAGTTCCATCGTCTAGTTTCACCATGTAACTCTCCTTTTTGTGAAGTCTTCTTAAACTGAATATACATTTTGAGGCGACAAAAGCCTTTAGGTTCTTTATTTCGCTTACACATTTCTCTAGAGAATTTTGTGCAAGTTAAACTAAGACTCTAGTCAGACACTAAACATATCGCTAATAAGTACCATAACAGTATTAACGATTCAGCTAGATAGGTCCAATTTCGGATGGAGGTCAATCGTCAAATCCAACTCGGCTGGGTAGCGTTCGGGAAACTACGCAACATCTTTTCGTCGAAAATACCTCAGTGCCTGAAGACGAAAGTCTACAACCTGTGATGACTTATGGCTCGGAAACGTGGCCTCTCACTATAGGCCTTATACAGAAGCTCAAAGTTGCACAGCGTGCTATGGACAGGGCTATGCTCGGTGTTTCTTTACGAGATCGAATCAGAAATGAGGAGATCCGTAAATGAACTAAAGTCGACGGATTAGCAAGCAGAAGTGGCAGTGGGCAGGGCACATAGTAGGCACGCAGAACTGACGGCCGATGGGGCAGCAAGGTTCTGGAATGGAGGCCGCGTACCGGAAAACGCAGCGTGAGACGTCCACCCACAAGGTGGACCGACGACCTGATAAAGGTAGGTAGCAGGAAGGCGCTGGATGGAGGCCGCTACCAACCGTGCGATGTGGAAATCATTGGGGGAAGCCTATGTTCAGCAGTGGACGTACTGTGGCTGAAATGATGAAGATGATGATGACAGTATTTTGAACATTCAATTACCTAGATACAGATTTAATCTGAAAAATAATGTATCATTATAAAAATCTCAAAATGTATGGCAATTTCACGTACGACTGTTTTATTATACCTTTATTAGTTATATTTTATTCACTATCACAATTGAATCAAGCAAGTTTTGCCATGACTGCTTACACTTTGCAATTTCAACCATAAAGTTAAAACCTTAAAATACGTCATTATAATCCCATGACCTGACGTCCTGAAAATATGCACAGTCCCTTAAGGCTCCTTGCCCACGGCAACATTTATAGTGATGCTGTGAGTGATGCTAACGCGCTATTAACGCGCCACAGCATCGCGACTGTTTCGATTCAACCGTAACGAATGACATCGGGGAGAGAATGGAGGGAGGGCGGTCTAACAACTGTAGGGATCACAGGTAATTTTGTGCCGTTACTAAATCGCGTTTGCATCACGACAGAAGCGCGAGAGCATCACGTTTGCATCACGACTGAATCGTGTTTATGTGTGGGCGAGGGCACACAGCTAGCGATCGCATTGCGACTGTATCGATGCGAACGCGCGACAGAATCGTTACTGCATCGCTGCAAAAAGTCGCCGTGGGCAAGGAGCTTAAAATTGCATAATTGTTACATTAAATACGAACGCTCTTAGAAAAGACTAGAGTCACTATGAGAAAACATAAAAAATCAGTAAAAATATAAATAAAGCAGCTCATAAAAAGTAATTAAACTTTGTGTTTTGTACATTTGTGAATGGTAAGCCTTGACACGTGCGTATCATTGAAAAGACGAGGAAAGTCATTTTACCTTATAAGGAAATTAATGAAATAAACGATGTAACTCAGATCTGTTTGATACGAAAACATGAGAGAAATTACTACATTGAACCCAATTTATGACTATTTAAAATGGAGAATAAATAAAACCAAAATTAGTAGGTTAAACAGTACATATCTATTATTATACTGAGAAATAAAAATATACTTTTTTTTAATTGTAATACGGGTTTCTTCGGAAACCTATCTCAGGCTCCAGTCTCTCACACACAATGTAGCATAATTAAGGATTAATTAATTAATTAAATATAAATATTGTGTAACATCTTAAATGTAAATATCAATGTAATTGATGTATGTGTGTGAGAGATAAATAAAAAAAAATATTTATTTAAAGTAATTTTTAATTTTTCAAAAAACGCATATACAGACTTCCTTTTGCAATAACTGTTTTGTTAAAAATAAATATTCCATCTCCTCTCGCTTTCTCGAATGGCCAGATGTAATGAAAGTTATCAAATGGCATTGACATATTTGACAGGACGTAACGTTTCTGTAACATAATGAAAATGTAAGTATACTAAAGCTTGGTCCGAGAGCACGTAGAATTCTGTCCAATAACCCCTAGCAAACACTCACTGCGGGCGCCCGTCGCACAGTCGCGACAGCAATATAATTACGCGCGAGCGATAAGGATGGGTAGCTTGGGGTCATTGGACAAAATTCTACGTGCTCACGGACCAGGCTTTACTCGTACTTACTAGCAAAAGTATCACCTCTTTGTGTTTTGTTCCAAGCGATCTTTAGAACTGAATGATTATGTATGTATGATATCAATTTAAAATATAATTTGTTATCTTTAAATTGGTACCAGTCATTTATTTTTTACGATTGCTCGAAACAAATAGGATGATTCCATACTTTTGCTCGCAACAAATAGGGTGATTCCATACTTTTGCTCGCGAGTTTATATTTTAGGCACAAAATTTTAAGAGTTTATGACAAACAAAACTAAAACTTCCCGCAGTTGACAATATTATTTATTTTACGGTATTATTTATTTTATTGAATACTTCAGTAACTATTTAACATAATGTTTTTTATATTTTCTGTAAAAAATCTGTTAAGCTCTATCGATTTCATTCGCTCCCTTTGATGTACAGGATTGTTTGTTATGGCGATCAATTTAGTAAGCGGGCAGTACCAGGATGCAAGCAGCTCTGGTCTGGTCGTTGTGGAAATTTTTGGGAGGCCTTGGTCCAGCTGTAGACGTCATTTTTCTGAAATGAACGAACTTCTGCTTACCGGTGTAAGAGGGCACTTGGTAAGTCCAGCATTGTTTAAAGCCTTTCCAATGAGCTTATCTTTTATCAACTGACAGAACTTCTCAAAATGAAGCTCCACGAACGTGGGTCTATATTCATTGTGAAGGAACTCGTATAGATAAATGTGAAACTGTAAGATAAATGTTGATATATTTATTAAAAAACACATTTTATAGAAATTAGATACAACAAAATGGATAAATATTGGAAGAAGCACAAACGTCTCTATCAACATTATTTTATTACTATTTATGACAGGCACCACTCCTAGTATTTTCCAAACTTATATTAAAGAGTATCCATAATTTTGACGCAAAAACAAACAAAAATCAAAAAGTTAGGTGGATGTAAACAGGCGACATGACCCTAAGTGACTTTATAAATATAAATAATTATTTATTTCAATTACATTGGGATCATAGTTTAGGTTAGTTTACATTCAAATTTAAATTAAATAGGTAAACCAGTAAAATATATTATCCAACATTACAATTTAAATATTACAATAATTTAAATAATGTCATGGTTGTTTTAAATGATTCGTGTACTGACAGTCAACGATCAGAGAATAGACTCAGGATATGACGTAACGACTACAATATATTATTACCGAGATATTATCACTCCAAGCATATTTGAGAGTTCCCTCTAAATTGACTAAATAGCCACTTTTCCTGCCGTTACGCCTCACGTTAAATATTACATCCTCGATATACTTCTCATCGTAGAATTCAAGACTTGCTCTTTCTGGAATCATGCGCGTGCACTGAAAAAAATGCTCTATTATAGATCGCTTAAGAGTAGGCGCACACCGTTGATTTTTAGTTGGCCGATAGTTGTGCCCGATTTTAATTTGAATGAAGAATCGGCCAAATCGAATCGGCGTAGTGTGCGCACTCCCATACATGCCCATACTGATCAACTGCCCGACTAAACTATCGGCCAACGAAAAATCAACGGTGTGCGCCTACTCTAACTGGTCATTGCCTGAGGTATGGAAGCGACAGTTTGAGGGGTGACATTGACATATCATGACGTGACAGAGCACACAAATCTGAAAGAAGTCTCGCTGACGTTTGACATCATAAAAACACCCTCCCTTATCGCTCCTATACTGACACAGTTACGCGTTAGACTTAAAATAACCCATCTCCCACTTGGTGAACTGTCAATCTGGTAAAGGCCATCCATAGGAAGCACCTGGATGCTGTCAGCGTATGGGAGGCCGTATACAGGGTGTCCCAAAAAGTAGTGTCAAGCCGAAGCCTAGAAGTAGAGCATCACTAGGGCTACCCGAATCACCGCGACTTTTGATAGTTTTCGAGTTATGATTTTTTTACAACATACAGGATTTTTAACTTTTTAGTTAACATTCGTATTATGGATGTAAATAGTACTTATAAATCAGCTAGAAGGCATAGTATTCATCTAATAATAATAATAAAAACCCAACCCGCCTGCCAAGCGTGGGGATTATGGCAAAACCCTCCACCATAGTGGAGGAGGCTCATAGTCCAGCAGTGGACTGTAAAGGGCTGTTGATGATGATGATGAATAATAAAAAAATCAGGCATTTACCTTATCTATTCGCGCCACAGTGACCAAAAAAGTGCCTAAGCACAGAAATTTAAAACAATAAACTCGAAATCTATCAAAAATCGCGGAACATACATGGGGGTGATTCGGCCAACCCTAGTGATGCTCTACCTCGGGGCTTTAGTTTAACATCACTTTTTAGGACAGCCTGTATATTAAAGTTATTACAAAAAGGAGATTTTTATGATTTCCTTATTATGCATAATAATTACTAGTATTAGTTCTCCGAGTATTCATAATATTTCATTATTTCTATATGAATTTCAAATTTAATTTAGTAGTTTATAAAATCATAATAATAAAATGTGTACTCACATAGCATATTATCATCAAATAAAATACGAAACACACCAGCAACCTCAATGCAGCAGTCATGGTAACATTTGCTTGTTTCGATTGTAATACGAGTAAGTAAATAAAATGTGTAGATAAAATATGTTATAATGATAAACTTGAGTATGATTGCCATCATTTTTGAGATTTTATATGATAAAACATTTTTCAGATTACCCTTTAACTGGTATAGAGAAAAATATTTTTCATTAGTTTTGTAACTTATGTTTTCTCAATAAGGTTCAAAATATAGTGGCAACAATTCTGCCACTACCAGGTAAAGGTTTAAATCGGATGTTCCTAATACTGTAATGGTACCTACTTAATAGCGATTTGTATAGTGATTGACTATCTTCTGCATGCGGTTTTGGTCTTGGCGATTTTATAAAATGGTTAGTTAAAAAAAAACCATGAAAGCAAATAAATAATTAGTTATACTAATATTATAAGTAATATTTATGTAGGTATATATTTTGTATTAATATATATTATAATATTTTATGTATTATATTAGTATAAGTTTTTTTGTATTTGTAGGTACTATTTTGCACCGCCTACTTAAATTCTCTGTTTTGTCTAATTTTCTGGTTAGCTGGAAGAGAATGCCACATGGCATTAAGCTCGCCTGGCTTCAAATTCGTGTTACATTACACTTTACACCCGTCTGGACCCGGCTTTACTGTTTGTGTGTTTGTGCTCTACCTATATTATCTAGGAATCGAATTATGTTGTAGCTATTTGACTACACTTTCTCAATTTTGATTAATAAGCCTCAATAATAATAATTTGTATAACATTTTCTGGATAAATGTGTAAGAGAAACAAACTAGGCTAGTATCGCCTGAAAGTGTATATTCAGTTGAAGGAGATACTAACACTAAAGTGTTCTAGGGTTTTTTCTTTTTCTGGACAAATCTCATATAAAGGCTTCCATTTCCAATCGCCACACCAAGTCTGTCAGCTTTGTCTCCACGTGACGGTGCAAACTCTTCGTGCTCTCTCATACGACCATGCGTAGGGGAAGTCTTCGAGAGGTATCGATATGTTTGCTAAAACATAAAAACCCTGGGATCAGATCTATACTTATAATAAATCTGTAGAGAGGTCAATTCTGTACATGAAATATATTTTCAAAATAACTATTCAGGGGGTGATTAGTGATCGATACTGATGCCAAAAATGCAATCAGTAAATTTTTTGTCTGTCTGTCTGTCTGTCTGTCTGTCTGTCTGTATGTTCCTTATAGAAACAAAAACTACTTGACGGATTTTAACGAAACTTGGTACAATTATTCTTCATACTCCTGGGCAGGTTATAGGATACTTAGGAATTCCCACGGGAACGGGCATTAGCGGGAAAATCCTTTTGTATGAAAAATCTAAACCGCTTAATTTAGACGCTTGAAATTTGGCATGTAGGTACCTTATTAAACTTAGAGCTTAGTTACAACAAGGAATTCCCGAAATTCTCACGGAAACGGGAACAAGAGGGAAAATCCTTTTGTATGAAAAATCTAAGCCACTTAAGATAGACGCTTGAAATTTGGCATGCAGGTACCTTAGTAAACTTAAAGCTTAGTTACAACAGGATATTGCGAAATTCCAACGGGAACGGGAGTTAGCAGGATAAAACATTAGTATGAAAAAATCTAAACCGCGTAAGATAGATGAAGGGGGTAAAACGGGTTCCACGCGTACGAAGTCGCGGGCGGCCGCTAGTAATAAATAATTTATCATTGATGGCACATTAAATACTTCAGACGACGAGCTTAATGAAGTAAATGGCATTCTCAGCCCTAATTCAGCAGAAAATAAATTCGTGTCGCTCAAAATCATCATTGACACGATGGGCTAGCATGAACAACACTTTGCCAGGAGGACTGGTATCAAATGTGCAAACAGCACAATATGTAGACCTCAAAGTTACCTTTCAAAATGATTAGTTAAATACCTCTTACTAGGTGGACTGACAATCTGGTGAAGGCCGCGGGAATTGGTCAAGCACCGACCTGGATGCGGGCAGTCACATGCGCTGTACCGGTCGTTATGGAAATTTTGCCAGAGATATTTAATTGTCATTTAGCTGAAACGACTAAATAAACGACAAATAATACTTACTGGTGGTGAAGGGGCAAGGGCATATGTAAAACAATATTGAGCACTAAAAGTGTCACAGTCGAATAAATAATTATTCAAATCGATCAAACGAACATGACTCCTGTAAGTAACTAAGACATTTATTTTATTTATTTATCTAAAAATTTTCTTACAAAGATACCACAATAAATATATGAGTTTGTAATAGAAAACACGATGAACATTAACATATTTATAGCGGTAGACATTATTGTTGGATCAAACTGGACTGAATAAAATGCAATTTGAATCGTTTAAAATTAATTTAAACGTTGAACTATTACAGCGATGCGTTAAATAAGTATAGCAATTAGTTCTACATTGTTATATCCTTTGACAAAGATCTATAAATAAAATTAGATTTAATTGGTACCAAATTATATCACAACTAGCTTTCCGCCTGCGGCTTCACCCGCGTGGAATTTTATATGTCACAGAAAAACTTTATCGCGCGCGTCCCTGTTTCAAAAACCGGGACAAAAACTATCCTATGTTCTTTCCCGGGATTCAAACTATCTCTATGCCAAATTTCATCAAAATCGGTTCAGTGGTTTAGGCGTGAAAGCTAGACAGACAGAGTTACTTTCGCGTTTATAATATTAGTATAGAAGTAATATGTAGATTCATAAACGGGAAGTCGGCAATAAAACGATTCCAATTACGGCAACTCTTGCGCATTAAAATGGTTTTATTTTATTTTAGTATTGTTGTATGGTAGAAAGCATGTGTACCTAAACGTTGTGTCTTGTGTAGTTGCAATAGGCACTATATTGCAACAGAACTTGCAAAATAGATTTTGATTACTGTATAATCTATCTTCTATATAAATAAAAATGAATTGATGTTCGTTAGTCTGATTAAAACTCGAGAACGGCTGGGCCGATTGAGCTGATTTTGGTTTTAAAATGTTTGTCGTAGTCCAGGGTAGGTCTAAACGGTGAGAAAATACCTACGCGCGATATTGTTTTTCTGAGACAGACAAAATTCCACGCGGGCGAAGCAGCGGGCGGAAAGCTAGTATGGAATAAATGTGCACTATGCAATCGATGCTGAACATGCTCTTTGTTAAAAATATTTGTGAAGATCTTTCCACCCAAGGGAGTACCTAGTGCTCCAGTAAATCGCCTTTATGGTAGCAACGACCATCAGGTTCCTGGTAAGATTCTTGTTAGATTATGTTTATAATTAATTAATTACCGGAAAACGCAGCGTCGTACGTCCACCTACAAGGTGGACCGACGACATCGATATCACGACACCACTTTTTTTTTAATTGACAGGAGGCAAACGAGCAGACGGATCACCAGATCTGATGGTAAGTGATTACCGTCGCCCATAGACACCCTCAGACCCAGGGGCATTACAGGTGCGTTGCCGGCCTTTAAGGTGAAGATACGCTCTCCTCTTGAAAGCTTGCAGGTCGTATCCGTCCGGAAACACCGCAGACGACAGTCCATTCCACAGTTTGGTTGTACGGGGCAGGAAGTTTCTAGAGAAACGTACTGTTGTGGACTGCCAACCATCTAAGTGATGGGGGTGGAAGTGCTGTCGGGTAGATCGGTGGCGAAAAGTGGCGGCAGGAATAAGTCCGGATAATTCTTCGGAGCACTCCTCGTGATACATGCGATAGAAGATGCACAGTGAGGATACATCTCTACGCAGCGCCAAGGGGTCAAGCCGGTCAAGTGAACAT